ATGTATTCATTGCTATCAGCATGTTAAGAGCATTCCATGGAATATAACAAAAAGTGTTTCTGAAATGAATTAGCTACCCCACCTTTAACTGCCATTAAAAAAAATAATTTTTTCCAGAGTTAAATATTTTAACCAACTTCAGTCCTGATCGGCACAATCAACTATTCATTCATTTTCTGAATTTTATCCCTTTGAATACCAATGTTTATGGAGAAATAACACTTGAAATTATTTATTTAAAATGAATGTTAGAAGGAAGTTAAGTGTTTTCTGGGATATGTAAATAGCAACAACTTTTGGTGAGTTTTTATTTATTTGTGTAAGAAAACTATTTTAAAGTCAGAGCTGTAGATTGAAAGTCGTATATTGTGTGATTTTGATCTGTAATGGCAGTTGGATTAAATTAATATATATATATTTTTTTTCCTTTAAGGGTCTCACTATCTACATTTTTGCTACCAACCTAATAATTGACTCATTAGAGTAGCAGAGGCTAAACTTCCTTATCCTAAAAAAGAAAAAAAACTTGCACTCTTTCCAGAATGTATGCAATGTGCATTAACACAGCCAAAACATTTATTTAAAAGCCAAAATGTCCGTAGTAAGACACAAGGGTTAATGTAGGTGCTTCATCACAATCTTGTTAAACCTCTGACTCAGCTCCTTTCTTCTTCCCGATGCCTCAGCTATGGGAAAACAAACTGATGCAGTCCAAGGCAGTGGAGGGCTTCCACACGGAGGAGCAGGCAGCCTTGCAGGCCGTCGCGCAGCAGCAACAACAACAACAACAACAACAACAACAACAACATCAACAGCAGCAGCAGCAACAACAACAACAGCAGCAGCAACAACAGCATCATCAGGTGCATCATCAGGTGCAGCATCAGGTGCAGATCCAACAGGTGCAGCAGGTGCAGCAGCAAGCCCAGGCCCAGCAGGTCATCCAGCAGCAGCAAGGTCAGTCAGCACCGTCACTAACAACAACTAATGCTAATGTATGCAACAGAGACTCCTAACACCTGTGAAGTCCATTACTACTACACACCACAACATGTCCATTTGGAGAAGTCGTATTCAGCCTTCCTAATAAACACATTGATATTCAGATAGTGAAACAATTTTACAAAACTACAATATGATTTTAACTTTAAACTGTAAGAGCCAGTTGTAGATTAAATGACTTGACACAATTGGTATTTTAACATCCCTATTTCTCTGTTGAAGCATTTTTGTTTCGGGGTGTTATCAGAAGTTTTCGTGTTCTAACGGTATTTGGGCCAAAGGGCCTTTATTGGAGATGTCAGTTGAAAGGGGGAGACAGAGGGGGGGACATTGCCTGAAATGTTCGGTCATATCAGGATTGGAACCAGCCTACTAGGCAGCGTGGACCATATATGGGCAGCCAGCTCTAACAGCTGACCTATCCAGTACCCCATTGTTAGAAGTTTTCAATGGCGTCACGATTTTTAATTCCTTATTGATTGAGATTTTAATTTCAACCTTCTTTTTTTTTCTCTCCTCCCCCACTTACTTGCTTCCGAAATAGAAGGTCATTTCACAGATGAAACCAAATAGTTTAAGGGTAGCCTGCAGCTGCACTTTTCAAGACTCCACAGCCATTGTTAGAGTTAGAGATAGTGGACAAAACAAAAGTGGAAAAGCCTTCTGCTTCCTGGAATTCAGTGGTTGGGAAACATGTTTCCTAAAAAAAAATTAAAACCTGAGCGATGTAAATATGGTGGCTATATGACACTTGATAACAAGTAGCCTCGCCTGTCTTGTCAAAGAAGGGCTTGAGTAAATTACAGTTTTCAGGGCATAAAGCCATTCTTATCTTTTACAAATGAAGACTCCCTAAAAGCAAACGGTGCTGAAAAGAAAGTTGAAAATCTTTACATCTACATTTTATATTAAATTATAAATAAATTGTTAAAATGCGCCCATATGGCCTAAGTGTGTAGTACATTGCTAAAAAAAAATAAAAAAAACGTGCGGTTATATAACTAACTTAATACACTGTAGCCATCAATTTAAATAAGATTTCTTTAAATGCAAATAATTATCTCTGCATAAAACCAAATTATCTTTTGATCTTTATGAATCGATACTGTCTATTCTAACAATAGCAAAGCTGTCGGTGCTGGAAAAAATGATTTGATCTAATTGTGAAAAAAAAGGTCTGATAGAATCATGGAGACTCGTGATGCTTATGTTATTATGTTGTGATTTAATCATGTCTCTCTCCACAGCTTCCCAGCAGCAAGTCATTGTCCAGGATCCCAAGATCCTACAGCACATGAATGCAACGGGCATGGTAAGTAGATGATGCACATCGCTTATATCCACTGAATACAGATATACAGTGACTGCCTGAAGCATTCTGTTAGTGTAATATATTTGATCAAAACAAGAGGAGGATTATAAAGTGTCTCTGCAGGACTTTTCCTCAGAGCAGAGCCACTATTTTGGAGCAGACAGATGGAAGGGCAGAAAGAAATGTAGTGTCTGGATTACAGTGGAGATACAGTCGCAGATAATGCATCCTCTTACATGCTCCCGTTGTGTCTCACACACACTGAAACACACTTTCCCTTAACTAGTTGTGATTACGACAATGGAGCGGCAACACTTCCCTTCCTTTTGTACTTCTCTCTCTCTCTCTCTCTTAACAACACTTGAGCCATCTGTTGATGTCAAGGCTTGCTCCTGTGCTGTAATAGTAAACAGTCTTTAAGTCTCAAACACTTAATCCTCACTTGCAAATATTCCAACCTTTTAGCCATCAAACATGGCAAGCAAAATGAATGAATGCAAATATGTACAGGCTACAGCCAAGGGAATGTAAATGTGACCACTAAAGCATTCAAATCCCTTCAGAGAAATGTACTTGAAGCTAAACTCATTACTACCTGTGTGCATTTGAAGAGGCCCTATTAAGCTTCTTTGGGGTTTGCCTGGGGTGTATTAAAGGTTTGTGTGCATGTAAATGGCCTGCAAAGGCTAAACCCCCCCCCCCCCTGCCTGAAACACCTCCATAGAACTCCTGAGTAGTGACATCACTATTTAACACTCGTCCTTTCTAGTGGCTATCGCTCCAACACTTTGTACATGATAGACTAAGGGGCGCTAATCTATTAGCGGTTGACCAATCACAACAGAGCCGGCCAGTTTACCAATCAGAGCAGACTGGGCTCTGGTTTCAGACAGAGGGTGAAAAGAGATGCTGCAGTA